CCAACGTTTGTGCTACTTCTGGGAAGGAGCGCTGAAGCTTGAACAGTGCCAGGACCGGCTACAAGGCCTTGGAGGACAAGGAAACCCTCCACGCTTCAATCCTCAGCGCGAGCACCCAGCCGTAGGAAGGCTGAGGCCGGTCGGGTCTAGACAGCCTAGAGGCCTAGAGCACACCGAGGACAGCAGTCCTCGTTGCGGACCAAGTGCTGCGGCGCATTGAGTACTTGCACTCCAAGGCTTGGCTTCAAAACAATCGTGGCTTCGTGTAACTTGGGGCTTGTCGGGGCTATTGAAGCCACGGCCAGGGCATCGTCCATCGCGACATCAAGCCAGAGAACTTTATGTTCGGAATCAAGAGCAGGGCCGGGAACCACAGGGAGGCTTGTGCTCGTCTCCCGAAGCATCGTGCTCCAGTCTCTCCTCAGGTCCACCACCTTTATCTGATCGATTTCGGTCTCAGCAAGAAGCAAGCCGCAGAAACGTTGCGATATCGATCAGATGCATCCGGTTTTGGGCTGGCAGGTACTTCGACCAGAAGCATGTAGCGCTTCGGACGCAGCTCAGCCTCACAGGGACGGCCAGGCGACAGAGATCCCCTGCAGTCTCCAATTCCTCGGTGGTAGCTCGGAATCAGCCAGGTATGCATCCATCAATGCCCACAAGGGCGTTGAGCAGAGTAGGCGCGACGATCTGGAGGCAGACCCGGAGCTAACGAGTCGTCTAAGTGTAGATGAAATGGGTCACACCTGGATCACGGTTAAGAAATTCAATCATATCAATACTGTATCGTCTGATGAAGCGGAATTTGCGTGGGTGATGGTGCCCGCTGGACGATATCCCGGCACTGGAAGCTTTCTGCTTGGACAAGCTGCCAAGCTGTGAAATGGCCGGACATAGCAGACGGACATAGCACCCCATGGGTGTGCAGATGCCAGAGCAGGGCCTGCTTCTTGGGAACTCCCAATGCAAATTGATAATTCAAGACGTCAAGAGATAGCTCTGTGTCCGTCTCTGTGTGTCTGTTTCTCTGTCAGTCTCTTTGCGTCTGTCTGTCTCTCCGTGTCTGTCTGTCTGTCTCTGTCTCTTCGTCTCTCTTCTCTGTCTGTATCTGTCTGTGTCTGTTTGTCTCTGTATGTGTCCGTCTGTGTCCGTCTGTGTCTGTCTGTGTCAGTCTGTGTCTGTGTCTGTCTGTGTCTCTCTGTGTCTGTCAGTCTGTGCGTCTGTTTGTGTTATCCTGCTGTACATGCGATGACGTGCATTCATGAAGGTTTTTCATGCATCCTTTGTTTTTCGTATTTTCGCTTTCTCCTTTTTGCTTGATGCAGGGGGCGCGAGGTCCTATCACAAAGCTCGCGCCAACGAAGCTCTTTGTCATATGGACAGGTAAACGTACCTGCGACCAGTTCCTGGGTGCAAGAGCGCAGCTGGATTGGTCACAATTGAAACCATCATGATGATTTTCTCAGTTTGTTCGAAACAGTTTATTTTCTTTGGAAACTCTGGCAGTTGTGCAATGTACATGTCTTTCGCTTGGCTTGAAATATGTACGTCACCAATGGAAGGCAGGCGGATCAGTGGAAGCCTTTCCAGTTGTGTTCGGCAAAAGCTCCCTCATGAGGGCCTTGTCGCTTTTCGGCGAAGTTGCCGGCCCACCGGGGTGCTTGTGTTAGCAGGATCGGAGATCACATCCCGTTTCACAACATGTTCAGGGGAAATCACTGTGTGGAGATCAGCCTTTTGGAAATCACAGTGGAGATCATAGTGGAGATCATAGTGGAGATCACCTGTACAAAGCTGCGATGGATCGTGAACGAACCCCCCGTCGCAATCCCTACTGGAGCTCCTCCAATCCTGACGTGGTTCCACCTCCTCCTGCGAGTTGGCAAAATCCCGTGCCCCCTCCGGCTATACCCACGGCCCGCCCCGACGGTGCTTCAGCCGCAAAATCTCACGTGGCAGCCCAATCCCCGTGCTGCACAGATTATGAGCGTTTCGCCAACCCCTCGCATTCCAGGACTGCCATCCCAACCTGATGCTAAGCCACCCAAAGTCTTTGGACCTATGCTACCCGCTGAGTTCTGTCAGAATCCGAATTATGTGGATTCACGCTCTATTGCAGGCTTGAACCTGGCTCGTTGGGTTAAGAAGACTGAGTGGTCGGTTCGAAAGCAGATTGACGGATGCCCAACACACATGGTACCGCTCCATTCATTGCTTTATCAAGGTTGGAATTCATATTGGATTCGTCATATTGCTGAAGGAAAGCCGACTTTCTTTGCAGGCTTCAAATCGATTGCTGAGATCGTATTCTGTCATGCATTGTTCGGCAAATTGCGAGATGAAGAAGTCGACTTGGATGAGCTTGCTTCCATCGTGCAGGGTACCAGTGACGCTGCTTCGAGGAGTGGTGCTTCGGACTCCAAAATCGCAGGCCACACATCTGTTGGCACAGAAGGTTGTTGACTACATGATAGGTCTGTATCCTCAGGCTTCAGTTGACACGGAGAAGGCAGCCATGGCGAATCAGATCCAGATGCTTCAACAACAACTTGCGAGCTTTGAAAATGCTTCCCCCTCCCGCACCTCTAACCAGCCTACCGCAGATCAGAAAGGGCTGCCGATTTAGGAAAGCCCCCCTGGACCAGTGTCAGAGTCAACAACTTCTGTTCAAAAAGTTCCTGATGGTACGACTCGTCTTCTTCGTGGCCAGACGGCTGAGCCGAAAAGTAATCTTATGCAGGCCTTCCAGAAAGGCAAACCATCGGGGAGCCAGGCAGAACCGTTGAGTATTGAGAATGGGGAGGTTGAGACGCAAGGTCGCAGCCCAGGAAGTTCTCAGCTTGAGTATGGCACGTCCTCGCATGTCGGACAGGTTGTGAAGAGTGTTCTCACGGATGTGTCCAAACGCCATTTCTTGACACGCGGTTGGAAAAGTTGCAAGTCGGACAAGGAAGTGTCGGCATGGATCGAAGGATTGACCTTGAGCAAAAATAACCGCAAGAAGCTGGAGACATGGACATCCCATGTCCAACGATGGCATGCGGACCTTCCTTCCAATGAACAGGCCGAATTGGATCAGGTTGTTGCCAACTGGGGCATCCCCATTCGTGACGTTGCTAAACTTAAAGCAGGCTCATTGCTGCGTATTTTAGCTGTCGGAACAGTTCTTGTGGCTTGACTACAAGCCACACTGGATGACAGAGAGCGATATCGCAGCGGCAATCCACCGCAAGGATGGTGGCAAAAGCACCGAAGTGACGTGGACTTGCTTCGGAATGCTCACCTCTTTTTCCAGAGTGTCTACGAGACACCCACCATGTTCGGACAACAATGGATGGACATTGTCATTTGGGTCCGTCGAAAGCTCCTTTTGTTAGCATGTGAGTTCGGGCTTGTACAGTCGCCGTTGACCTCCCAGCTTCGTTTAAAGTGTTCCAGCTACACCTGGAAATTCTTCCAGACCAAGTCGGTGATTTATTGCCGCATTTTTCTCCAACCCGAGTTGCAGCAATTCATGTATGTTGGATCTACATCCCAGACGTTGGGCGAGCGCGAACGTACTCGATGGGGGAAGTACAAACAAATCTGTTCTGGCAAGTCAGTATGTGGTGAGCTTTCGCTTTTCTGGCATTACCGACGACGGAATTATCATCTGGCCATGCTCCCTGGGTTCGGTCGCTGGTAAAAGCTAAACATGCACACATTGCCAATTCCGACCCTGTCAGATGTGTTCGCAGATTTGTGACATCGTGGAGAACTTTCAGGCGTTTTCGACGTCGGAACCTCCAGCTCACTGGACTGACGCCATCTGTCTTTCGCTCAACACATATAATCCAGAATATTGTCTACAGTTATCAGATTCTGTTTGACTTGGCGTCAGACGGCTTGAAATCTTTTCTTGCCCAAAAGTATTTACGCAGCAACAGAGTCGACTCTGATGTTCTCTACAGACTGTTTCGGATGGCCACTCATTTGGGTGACCCTTTCTACGAGACGATCTGCAGGTCCAGATTGAACACTGTGCTGCAATTTCGACAGCTGAGATGCCCGACCACATGTCGTCCTCTGTCCACTCCGTTTTTGTTGCCGGAGGCAGGTTTCAAGCGCTTGGTTCGTGGCTTGTTGGGTGATATCTTGGATGTTTCGTCTGACAGACTGTTGCCATACCACATCCCAACGACTGCGCTTGTTGCCAGAAGTCACCCAAAGATCAAGGACGTTCTTTTTTCGCACAAACGAATCCTGCAGTTGTGGGACCCACATGAGGACCCACGCAAGGCCGGAGTCATGTGTTGCTGTGCTGAGCTTCTCCAACGCCACCCCCACTTGACAGTGGTTCAAGGTCATATTGCATCTTCCGCTAGTTTGTTGTCTCTGCCGCCTGAACTTGCTCAGTTGGCTCAGTCGAGCTGTGCCAATCCGGTGTTTATGACCGCTACGGATCATTGGAAGATGTTTCATGAGGACGTGAAGCAGTGGATAGCCCATCATGGTCTGGTACATTACCCGACAAAGGATATTCGATGTGCTTGGCAGAAGGCTTGGGATATAAGTGATTCATCTAGGCCCGGGGGGCGTGACGCGCAAGAGGGTTCAGGGCATTTGGAGCATGGGTTCCAAGCCCTGGACTTGAAAATGATTTGTTGTAGTAGGGTTTGATTATTTTTCCATCGATCAGTCAGCGCAAGAACAACAGCCTCTCCAAACAAGTATCGTCCCTTCCCAAGAAAACGCGGCACGTTTTGGAACAAAATCGTCGTGAAAGCTACAAACCTACAACTTGTGATGTAGCCAACCCAAACTGCAAACCGCAAGCAAGCATATCTTCCTGACTTTGTCGGCTGTTTTATGATTGGGAATCCGAATCGCAGCACAGTTCAGGCACATGACTCACGTGACAGTGACAGCTTGACAACTTATCATCCAATCTTGCAAGAGGACGTAGGCAGTAGGCATAGCCTAGCTTGCTTGAGGTGTTACATTGGATAAGCCAAGATAAGCCAGATCTTTTCGTTGTGTAGTGTCATAGTGCTATGGCAGAGCCTGCCATCTTTAGGCTTCCAGATCCTGGGGACGGTGAGCTTGAGGACAGAGAGTCCGAGTCAGAGGCCGAGGAAGCTCCCAGGGCTCCCAGGTCTGCAGGTGCCCTGCGGACTGTTCGATATAGGGACAGACTTCGAAATGCTTCCCGCGCAGAGGTTTTGTTTCTGTATGCGAAAACCTGTGGCGACGAATCAGAATCTCTGGGCACCGCTGCTGCAGGGAATTATTTGTTTTGTGTTGCTGAGCTTGGGGGAAAATGCATCAAGCCGTTGGGTGCCCAAGAGCACTTGCAGCAGCAAGATACTTGGCGAGCTCGGCGTCAGAAACGTCGCGATCGAGATTTCGCCGCTAAGCAGATGTCCCTCCAGAACCAGACAACCCGAAACCAGATGTTCAAGTGCTGTTTGAAGTCTCTTTTTCGTTTCAGGGCAGCTGTCCAGTTGGGGCCTGCCCAGGCTGCAGTGGCAGGTGCCTGGTGCCGGGCACCTGCAGCTGCTAACCAGGGTGCGGTGACTCCTGTTCCTGCGATGCCCGCCTTGGCTGGCAGGTTGGCGGTTTTGCCTGCAGGGCAAGCGCAATGGGTTTTTCAAGCTGCTGCGCCAAGCGTCATCTTCGAAGCCGTTGCAGATCGCCAGGGCCTTTACACTTGCTTTGCAGACGGACAGGCGGCGGAGCCTGAAGTAGGCACTGCGAGGCGTTACCTAGGGCGTCCTTTCTGGATGGTTCGCTTGCCACCAACTGTCATGAAGCATTTGATGGAGATAGGCAAGGAGTTCGTGGTTCCTGGTGGGCTTGTGACTTCTTTGGGGCACCAGTTGCCCGGAACCGTTCCTGCTGCGGCAGAAGGAAGCCCCAGTGATGGTGCCGACAGTGGTTCCTCTTCCTCCTGCGAGATGAAGAAAGTGCGCAGGCCGGCCATGCAAGAAATCCTGTTGGGAAAGCTCGCTTACAAGCTCAGCTCAACGGTAGGCATTCAAGATGTGGTTCGCACCGTCCTTCGAATGTTAGTGCCAGATAGTTTAGGTCTGCAGACAACATGAAAGTGTCGCATGGGCATGTGCGGAATATCTTGCTAAAGCTTGATGCCTTGCATTCCTTGTCTCGCCGGTTCCTTGCCCCACCAGGTGGTGGGGCAGACAAGTCGCTGCGAATTGTCAGGTACATCAGTCCTGACAGTTCCCCGCAAGCGAATTATGATTATTTTTGTGCGACAGAAGAGTTGCTGCTCTATCGTTCCGACGAGCTTCCAAGGGATGCGGGTGGAAATGTAGCTCCTTTCAAAGGGTTTGAACACCAGAGGCGTTCGATGTTGTGTACAACAATTGCGAGAGGACAAGGAAGCACAGCTTCGAAGGCAAGCAAGATGGTACATATGATTGCCGTTGAGAGTGGTGCGTCTCTCTTTGAGACGTATCGTTCGGAAGTTCGGGGCTTCTTAAGCGATCAAGGAACGGAGCGAGGCATAGCATCGTTTCCAGTCCGCAGTTGCTCTGAGGTCCAGAGTATTGTGGGCGCTCAAGCTTTGGCGAGCGAGGCAATACAGGAGGATTTTCGTGAATTGCCGCTCTTTCATTCCGCTCTACACATACCGGGAACACTACACATAGTGTTTAACGCACTGGAATTCAGCTTGAAGCAGCTTGAAACCTGGCAAAAATTCGAGAAACAGTTGAACAGCATCACCCGTGTGTGCAAAGAAAAGAGTTACTCAGAAGTAATTCTTGTGAGAATGATGAAGCATGCGAGCCCCGAGGAGAGACGGTTGTTGCATCGGATGGATGACCTCTTAGACTGGAGGTGGGATTCGCTCGCAAGAGTGCTGAAGGTTTGGGTTCCTCTATATCCCACCTTCAAGAAATATTGGAACCCAGCTGTTTTTGGTGGGGACAGCTCGTCAGTCACAATTCGAGCTGTGACGGAAGCGTTGGCAGACGAGTGCCATTTCGACATGGCAGTGTGGACGCATCAGTTCTCTGCCGAGGCCACCAGGCTGGCCCACTTTTTCGAGGGTTGTCACTGCCATCAGGAGCAGCTGACAGACCCAGAAAACCGGGAAAAGATAAACTGTTGTTGGAAAGGCAGGCGCTTGCCTTGGCTTGCGGTTGGTAATCTCCAGGGAGCTTTGCAAGATGCCATGACAAACAACGAGATTAGTGTTCTTGCGCATCTCTTGTCTCGTTCTAGTGAAACTGCAAGTCGGATGGCGCACATGGCGGACACGTGCAACAAAGTATTTGTTGCCGTTATCCAGCAAAAGCTTGCGTATGCTCAGCAAGTACCATGGGTGTTTGCCGCAGCGTTTGCGGGGTATATGGGCGAGACTTGGGGCCGAGTGAAAAAGGTTCTTCGGCCACATCTTCAGAACGTTGACAACATGATCTCCAGTGGCCAAGTCGGCGCTCTAGACTCTGTTACACATGCTTTGTTTGGACCAACCGACACAGGCCGCATGCTCCGAGAGTTTCTGAACTCGGAGGATGACGTGCCCCTTGATCGATGGCCAGCGTTGTTTTGGAGAGTACAGGAATATGCCTTTGTTTCTTTGTCCGAGCGACACACGGAGAGAGAGCATGTCGGTGTCAAGGTTGCAGCAAACCGTGGTCTCACAAAGGCTGGGCCTGCAGTTGTCTGCAGCCGCAAGCGCAGAGATCAAGTGTTGGAGATGCTGGAAGATGAGAAACAGCTCGCTTTCTTGGTCAACAATTGGCGCAGCAGGCGCCTTTGGAGTAGCCTGCTGGAGCACATGCTCACTCACGAAGAGGTTCGACTTATGGACACGCCAAAGAGGCTTTCCCGCTTGTACGGGTATAGCGAGGAAGACCACTTCAAAGATTGCGAGGACTCTGTTCGTGCTGATGCCGTTTACCGCCAAACTTTGAGAGATCAGACTTTGTTACTGGCCGGAAGCTTCAAGCTTCCGAGTGCTTCCCACCAGGTAGTGAACTGGCTGAAAGGCCATTTGGCGACGGGCGTGTTTTTCAGTGTGTCCACGCATGTCTTTGAGCTACTTGTCGACAGGGGTCGGAGATGTGAAGACCCAGCCGCATCCTTCAGAACCGACGTGCTGCTGTCTATTCTGCGAGCCGACGTCCACCCTCGGGTAAGTGATCGTGCTTCGGTTTTCTGCTCGGTGCTGGATGCCAGGCCAGAAGCAAGAACGGATGCTCGTGTTTCGCGACCTGCTGCACACATCACAGACCCGAAGCTAGGCCGCCGCAGCTGTGTGGTTGTGCAGCGTTTCCACGACGTGGATGTTTCCCAGGGCGTGCACGGCCTTGGTGGAGATGTGCGGGTGGCGTGCACGAATGTGCGGATCGAGGTTCTCGACTTGGCACGGGTGTGCACAGCAGAGAACTTGAAAGCCTTTTGTGCAAACTGTTTGCTCTGGCGTGCTATGCCTGCGGAACTGGCCTTGGCTCTGGGAGACGAGTCCACGCAGCCAGGTTTGCTGCAGGAGCCGCAAGTGCAGAAACTTCCAGAGATTGTCTTAGACAGCGATCCTGCCTGCTTGTTGAGTCGACCGCCTCCGGATCCGCATGTGGAAGATGCCCTCGACATCCTGCACCCCCCTGCCCATGTCGTGCAGAATGCGGACGACTCTGCGGTGCTGCAGGTCTACGGTGCTCCGTGTAGCGACCGAGAAATGCAAGCTATCAAAGAGTTGCTGCGAGCAAGGGCCATCGGCATTGAATCTGCTGTGTATGCCACAGACCTTGAACACTTCGATGCTGTTGCACTGGAAGGCTTGCGTGACCGAGGTCTTGTCATCTGCGAGACTGATATGTTCTCAGATGTATCCGTCGCCTTGACGGGCAAGTTGACCTACAGTGCAAGCTTGGTGCTGGCACGGCCATTGTTGCTTTGGGAGCTTGACCAAACGACTTTGACTCGAGGCCAGATGCCAGGCCGATCAAAGTTGGAGTTAATTCGTTTGTTGTTTGTCTTGGGCTGGGAGCCAGGGCTGGGCCGGGAAGCGTGGCATCGCAAGCAGGGAGAGAAACGTCTTCCAGATGACGTTCTAGTTTGCAGCCTCCCCTTCCTCAGAGCTTTGATGCTGAGTCGGCTTATATGGGAAAAGCCCGGCAACTTGTCGGGCATTTACTTGAAAGGCCCCCAGCAGTATTATGAGTTCTTGGTGGATCAGGACGATCTCAGCAGCTTGCGGGATGCTTCTGCAGAGGAAATCAATGCTCGGTTCGCGCAGAAGAAAAAAAGACCTGCTGGCCGCAGCTTGACAAGAGATGCGGCTACAGGTCTGGAGCTTGACCCAGAGGCTGATGATGCCGAGTTAGAAGAGCTTGTGCAAGAGCTGCCTGAAAAGCTCATGCAAGCAGAAGAGCCGCAGCCAAGCATGGCCAGCGGTGGTAGACGTGTCGCTCCTCTAGAAATCGACTTGGGAGGCGGTAGGACACAGGTAGTGCATTTTGACAATTTCACACACTCCAGCGGTCAGCTCCGAGCATTCGTTGCTTGCGAGACACACAGCGGCTGCCGCTTGTACACGTTTGTACGGCATCATGGCAGCCGCAGGCGGGCTGCTGCCTTTTTGCTTGCTTGGCAAATGCGAGCAGCTCACCACCGCAGAGCTGAAGCTCACATTGCGGACAAGCCAAGTGAAGAGCAGGTGGATGCCATGATGCTCCGGATCGCTTGATGCAACACACGGCAGTCAGAGTGAACGTTTGAGGTTTTTTTTTAGTTTGTTGCATTGTTTGGATGCAGGACACGTGTTGGCTGACTGTGCTGCTTCCGTTTGCTGCAAGAGTACCTCGGTCACTGTGTGCATGTGTGACTGCCCGTGCATGTGTGACTGCCCGCAGCCCCTTTCGGCTCCTTTGGGCTGTGCAGGGGCCAATGCATTGGCATTTCTCCCACTACGGAAGGCCGGCAGGGAGAAGTGTAGTCGAGTCTCGAAAGCTTTGCGGTGAGAAACCTGTAAAGTTACAAAGCTTTGAAACCCAGGCAGTCCTTAAGCCCCTAGAGTAAGAAGCTTGCTAACTCACAGAGCCAGATGCGGCCACCGTGTGCTCACCTGGGTTTCGGGCTGCGTTTTCGACGCTAACCCATTTCCCAGGCTGCACTATGGATCGGCACGCTACCTGGTCTGTGGGCTGCACGAAGCTACCCTGGAGCTACAGGATGCACAGTAGTCAGTTTAGCGTCCCCGCTATAGGTGTAGCAGCAAGCCAGGTTGCAGTTGCAGGTGTCTGTTGGAACAGATTAGCCTCTCAAAAGCAAAGCAAAACCCCCAACACCTTAAAAAAAATTGCTCGCAGGTGGGTGCCGGTGGTCTACAACCAGTGGGGCGAGGCGCAGCTCCCACACCGGCCGCCTGCGCTGTTGCCGCCGCATCCGCCGGCGGCGGCGGCCCCTTTTGCTGGCACGGGTGCAGCCCACGGTGCAGCCACAGGTGGCGGTGTTGCTGCTAACCCCTCGGGGGCTGCAGCAATGCCGGCGCCGAAAAAAAATCCTGGCCAGGTGGACCTAAGCAGCGAGGATGACGACGAGGAGTCTGAGGAGGAGGAGGCGGCTAAGAAGGACGAGGACAAGGAGCCGGACTCCCAGTCGCGGAAGGATGATATCGTGGTGGTGGACCACGACCAGGAGAAGAAGAAAGAAGAAAAGGGTGGCAAAAAGGAGGAGGCTGCTCAGAAGCGCAAGAAGAAGAAGGAGAGCAGCTCTTCCAGCGGAGGCAACAGTGAGTCCTCCAGCAAGAAAGAAAAGCCCCGTGCAGCCCCCGCTGCCAAGGAGGCCAAGCAGGCACACGAGGCCCAGGCCGACGAGAAGAGAGCGGCAAGGCCAAGGAGCCCAAGGAAGACAAGGAGGCGGAGGCGGCGGAGGGCGAGCCTGCAGCGCGGCCTGCGAGGAAGAACCGCAGCCGGCACTCAGCGGACGAGGCAGATGTCGTTCGCTGCGAGCACTGCTGGATGTGTGTGAAGAAAGAAGGCCTGCAAAGCCACCTGGAGAACAGCGAATACTGCCGCCAGTGGCGGCTCCACGCCGCCGGCCAAAATGTGGCCGGCCAAAAGCCTGCGGAAGAGCAGGCGAGCTCGGGTGCGTGCCAGTGCAGACACTGCTCACGGCAGTTCATGCGCAGGTGGGACATGCTGCAGCACTGCCTGGGCACGCACCCGAACTCCGACGAGGCTAAGGAATGCTTGCAGGCCATGCACAATAAGCGGAAGAAGCAGCCATCAAAGGAGGACCGGGCGGCTAGCATGAGCCAACACAGGCCGCCGGTGCAGCTGCGGAGCAGGGGGCGTGTGGAGGAGCCGCCGCACAGACGTGGCCCGCGGCGTGAAGAGAGCCGAGATGATGATGGCAGCCGTGGGCGGCGGAGAAGCCGTGGTGAGAGCCGCCAGAGCCGTGGCCAGGCAAGCTCTCGAGGCGGCGGCCAGGCAAGCTCTCGGGGGAGCCGCAAAGGCGGCGGCCAGGCAAGCTCTCGAGGGAGCCGCAAGAGCTCCCGCGGCAGCGAGCACATGGACCGACGCTTCTCGGGCCGCTCCCGCAGCCGCAGGGCGAGCGAGCCTGCGGCAAGCTCCGGCCGCCGTGGGCGCGATTCGCGGAAGGAGCCGACAGGGCAGCTAGGCCGCAGCAAATCATCGCCAAGGGATCGGGCCATGGTGGCGGGTCAGAGCCAGAGCCCTCAGATCCCCCAGATGATGCTGGCCTTTTTCGATGCCACCACGAAGATGCTGGACATGCAGCAGCAGTAGTCCTAACATCGAAGATTTTTGGGCGAGAGGAAGAATCCTGGGCCTGGTGTCCTAAGATCCGTGCGATCCTGGACCCAGAGCCCTAAGATTCGGCTCTCGCAGAGGAGGCTAGGCCGCGGTAGCTAGGCCGTAGCCGTAGGGTAGGAGCCCGACTGGCCTTCACCCGCCCTTAGCTCACGAAAGCCTTCAGGCCCCAAGCAAAGCTACAGCTACTACAGCTTTTAAGCTTTTAGCCGGAAACCGGAAACCTGAACCCTTAGGCACCAAGCAAAATACAGCTACTACAGCTTTTAAGCTTTTAGCCGGAAACCTGAACCCTTAGGCACCAAGCACAACTGAAGCTGAAAAGGCCAAGTCGGAAGTAGCTCCAGTGTTCCACTCACCAAGCACTGCCGAGCACAGTCGTGCCAAAAAAGATTCGTTCTCAGCAGGCTGGCGGGGCGTGTGGTCAAGTGCACAGCCAGAAAAAACTACAACCAGGAATCATCACGGTCGAGCGTTTGTTGCAAAACAACTACTGAAGCGTTTCAGTTTTGTTTTTGCCGGGCATGTTGAACTCATAAAGGGTTTTAAGGCCACAAGAGGACAGAACACAGAAAACACAGTGAATTCTCAAGGGGGCGGCCCTGGGGGTCTTCGGGGGGGGCTTTGGGGGCACTGGGAGGGCTCTGGAGGGCGTTTGCAGGGGATTTAGCACCTGTTTGGGGGTCTCGTGTTCGGGGTGTCCGGGGTCGTGTCGGGGTCGTGTCCGGGATGTCCGGGGTCGTGTCCGGGATGTCCGGGGTCGTGTCCGGGATGTCCGGGGTTGTGTCCGGGATGTCCGGGGCGGGGCCCGGGAAAGGTGTCCGGGGCGGGGCCCGAGGGTGTCTGGGGCCGTTTTGGGTGTCCCGCCCATGTCCCGCCAATGTCCCGCCATGTCCCGCCCATGTCCCGCCATGTCCCGCCCGTGTCCCGCCATGTCCCGCCCGTGTCCCGCCATGTCCCGCCGTGTCCCGCCATGTCCCGCCCGTGTCCCGCCATGTCCCGCCCATGTCCCGCCCATGTCCCGCCCGTGTCCCGCCATGTCCCGCCCATGTCCCGCCCGTGTCCCCCATGCGCCATGTCCCGCCCATGTCCCGCCATGTCCCGCCCATGTCCCGCCATGTCCCGCCCACGTCCCGCCATGTCCCGCCCTTGTCCCGCCCGAGTTCCGCCCAGCCCCGGTCCCGCCCACGTCTCATGATGTCCTTTGCGTCCTCTAAACTCTTTGCACAGCAGCCGTTTTCTCTCGAGGCTTTGTTTGTGTTAGCAGCAAAGAAAAAAAGCGCCAGGGGTATGCCTGGCAAACGCAAACGAGGTGACTCTCCAGTGCATGAGACCGATGCGACCCAGCCGCAGGCGGGCAGCAGTGTGATCACTGATGCGACCCAGCCGCAGGCGGGCAGCAGTGTGATCACTAGTGTGATCACCCGCCGCACACAGGAGCGATCCGAGCGATCCAGATCCCCGCGAGGGGAAAGGGTTGCGACTATCATTTGGAAGTGGTGCTGGAAACGAATGGAGACAGATGATGGGACCATTTGGTGGTGGCAATGGTGGAAGGAAGGGTCAACGAATGGAGACAGATGATGGGACCACTTGGTGGTGGCAATGGTGGAAGGAAGGGTCCAGAATCTGAGTGCGGTTTTTTTTTCGGCAATAAGAGCTTGCGGTGGAATGCTGGAATGCTGTCGCCGACAATAAGAGTTTGCGGTGGAATGCTGTCGCAGACAATAAGAGTTTGCGGTGGAATGCTGTCGCCGAATTGCATGACTCAGAGATTGCATGATTGCCTGTCTCAAGGCCTTGCATGGAAATGGAAACAAGTGCATTGCAAGGGTAGACTGTGCCACCCAATTGCCTGACTGAGAGACTGCATTGCATGATTGCTTGTCTTTTTCCGTGGGTGGAAATGTTTACATCAGTCCTGAGTTTGTCACTGAGAGTGAGCAAAGCCAGTTCCAAGAATAGCGTAGACAGCCGGAGCCATCATCCTGATTTCTTTTCTTTCTCAAGCCAAGCTTTTGTTTTTAGTGGGTTGCAGCATGATGGAGACTGGGGCAGCGAAGCTCCTGTATGCGATGAGTCCTTGGAGCTCAAAGCTCGGGCGTGCACCTGTGGTTGCTGAGCCCTGTGTAGGCATCTCTGCTTATCGAGAGTGGATGCAGAAAGCAGGGCTTGTTTACAGGCCATGCGCAGCCTACGATTTCAACATGGACTTGGTGCCGTTTTGGCGAGCTCTGCGAAACCAGGGTTTGCAGGGGACTTCGGAAGTCAAACTGGGTTTGCAAGAAGGGGACATCGAGAGGAATGTCGTGCTGTCAAAACTGTCAAGTGCGGAAGGCTTGATAAGCGGGCCCCCTTGTCAGCCTTTTGCCTCCACAGGTTTAAGGCAGGGCGCCCAGGACGAAAAAGGCCGCACAGATGTTTTTGAATCAGTTGTAAGCATGATATGTGAGGAAGGCTCGCGTGGCTGTCTTCTGTTTTTCATTCTGGAAAACAGCTCACATTTGGCTGATGCCAACCATGCTGAGTTTCTGAATGAGATGCTCTTGAGACTTGAAGTGTCACTGCCATATTTTTTGGTAGACACCGTGAAAAAGGATGCTGCGGAGTTTCTGCCAGTCAAGAGAGGTCGTTTTTTCATCAGAGGGCTAAGGAGAGACTGCCTGCCAGACCCCATGCAGGCGTTCCTCCCTGCCCCCCTGTGCTGCACGGATCTGCTCCCGGCAGTCACACTGGAAGAGATTTTGGATCTGAGCTTGGCTGCGACCGATGTGCAGAGTTTGTGTGCAGGGCACGCTGCTAACCTCACATTGTACAAGCAGACCATATCTCAGTGCATCGAAGAGCATCGTGCCCAAGGCAAGCCGCTGCCCTCGAACACGGTTGTTGTGGAGCTCGACCGAAACCCCTTGAGAACTTTCGGCGGGAAGTGGGGTTGGGGCAAGATCCCATCACTGAGGACTACGGGGCCACCTTTGTTTCTTCTGAGTTGCGAGGACTTGTCGAGGCCATGGCAGGTCATGCGACTGCACAGGTGGCTCAGCATCGCTGAGCGGTGCAGCGCTCTGGGGCAGCGTGCAAGCCACGCGGCCTTGTTCTCGAGAGACACCCATGCCCTGCATGCGATCGGGAACGCTCTCTCGCCAGTGCAGCTGGCCGCTGTTGCCTCGCCGCTCGTGGAGGCAGCGGTCAACTCTGGCGTGCTCACTGCAGGCAACCGTTGCAAAGCCTGCGCAGTGGAGCTTCTGCCGCACACGAAGCCACCGGGTACATCAGCAGCTTGTATCCTTGAAAAGACCCCGAGGCCAAGCGCCACAAAAGGTTCCAAACCAAAGGCTGCAGTTGAAGAGGCAACACAAAAGACTCGAAAACCGAGGGCCAAAAGCAGTGCAAAGCCGAAGGCTTCAACTGAAGAGGCAAGCCCAAAGACCCGAACCCCGAAGGCCAAAACAGCTACAAAGCCAAAGGTTTCAACTGAAGAGGTAACCCCAAAGACTCGCAACCCCAAGGCCAACAGGGTTCGAAAGCCAAGGGCTCCAACTGAAGAGGAAGCTCCAAAGACTCTGCCTCGTGACACCAGCGCAAAGCCAGAGGCTTCAGCTGAAGAGGAAGCCCCAAAGACTCTGCCTCGTGACACCAGCACAAAGCCAGAGGCTTCAGCTGAAGAGGAAGCCCCAAAGACTCTGCCTCGTGACCGTGACACCAGCACAAAGCCGGAGGCTTCAGCTGAAGAGGAAGCCCCAAAGACTCTGCCTCGTGACACCAGCACAAAGCCGGAGGCTTCAGCTGAAGAGGAAGCCCCAAAGACTCTGCCTCGTGACACCAGCACAGCTGGTTTAGATGGCACCCAGGACTTACCACGTCACCAGCCAGAAGGCAGCACCCAGGACTTACCACGTCACCAGCCAGAAGGCAGCACCCAGGACTTACCACGTCACCAGTCCGATGACTTGGAGCTAGAGCTTGAGCGACTGGTTGACGAGCTTTTTTCGGATGATGATCCGGGCATGGACGTTGATGATGCTGCGCCACAGAGTCCACTCGTCCTGAGTGAGAAAGCAACACACCTCTTCGAGTGTTTGGCTAAAGCCAAAGCTTCATCCAAAAACTGGCTCTCGCCAGCAAGCAAGAGCTCCAAGAACGAATCTGAGCCAGCACAAAGCTCCGGAAGCAAGGTTGGCGACAGACGGAGGCGTTCTACTAGCTCAGGGCGAGACATGCCAGAGAATGCTCAGCGCAAGCTGCGTTTCCCACCTCACTTGAACCTGCCAAAAGAAGCGATCCACCTCTCGGATTCCGACTAGCGCTTCTAAGCGGTGTCGGTTGCCATGGTGGCGGTCTGCCTGTTCGTAGATAGGACCTGCTAGGATGGTAGGTGGATGAGCAGATGTGTGTGTGTGTGTGTCCACACAGCAAGCTTGAGAATAGTGCAAAACAGTCTTCCGATAACCCTTCTGTGTTCGCTGAGTAAGCTTGCCGGGTAGTTCCCTGATGACAGCCATTGAACTCAGGGTTCTTGTTTTTGTGTCTTGCAGCGATTTGTTTGGCTCCACAAGCCCCTCAGCTCCCACACTCGTGCTCCCCTGCCCCGCAGCAAGCATGACAGATGCCCCGGACCAGGAGATGCCTCAGAGCATCATGCATCAGGTGATCATCAGGTGTGAGGAAGAGACAAGCATCTTGACGAGCTACCCAACTGGAAGGAACTGCTTGAGGCGGATCTGCTCCTGCTGTTCGTCCACAGACCGGTGCCTCTCTCGGATGGCTAAAGCACCGAAGAAGGGCTCTGCCGAAGAAGCCAAAGAAAGCGAGGAGGCCAAGAAAGCTCGAAAAAGCGCTGAGGCCCTGAGGGGAAGCGTGGCCAAGATGGGTTCCTCGGAGCGTGCCCAGTGGTACCGCCAAGAGAAACGGAAGCGGGCAACCGAGTCAAAGAAAAGCCGCAGGACCTTCGCAACGGCAGTGGGGGCCTTGGAAGAGACTCGCCAGACTGGGAACGAAGATTGCAGCGGCTCACGATACATGACCCCCCGCGACTGGTGCGCACGGGAAATGATCCTGAAGCAGTACAGTACCTTGGAGGATGCTATGGTAGCCTACGAGCAGCGCTGCACAGATCCGGACGTTGTGACCAAGGAGATCAACGGGGAACTCTGCCTCCGGGTCAACAACGGAGGTCTGGAAAATGTCGTGGACCGCCATACCGTTGCAGCATCCGTGCGGCAGCGGACTGACCTTGGCGATGGCGAGCAGCTTGATGGTTTCGAAGAGGAAATCGGACCTCGCATGAAACGTGCTTCTGACAAGCTCCAAACAGAGCGGCTTCTGTCAGAGCAGCAGGGCAAGCAGGCCTACGTTCCGGCCGTCGCGGTGCGACGAGATTTGGAGCAAGAGAAGGAAGTTGCTGAGAACAGAGCTGCTGAATTTCAGCAGCAAGCCTTGGCACTCAAGGAGAAAGCTGATCAAAAGAGGAAAGAGTTGAAGGAGAAGCAAGCAACCCAGCTTCCCTCCTTGGCAGTGGCAAAGCTCAGCCTCACCAACGCTATCCACAAGGCAAATGCTTCGATGTCCGAGCTGTTGAAGCGTCAGAAGGCCACAGCAGACACCTTGTGCAAGGACTTGACGAATGCTTTGTGCATGTCAGACGTCCCCGTGAAGAGAGAAGCCGAGGAAAAGACGAAAGTGCTGAATGGCAAGATCAAGGACCTGGAGACTGCCATGGAGGAGTCCATCGCAGAATGGAACACCAAGGCTGGTGACGAAAGCCTTGACATCGAAGCCATGGTGTCAATGGAGAAGGATCTGGCAGCCTACATGAAGGAGTGGCACCTTGGCAAGCACTGCCAGGCAGTGTTGGACACGAAGCAGCAGATTAAAAACTTCCGCGAATTCACCTCAGACTGCAAGAAGGAGGTGAAGAAGCGGGACAAGCTGGCCGCGAAGGCGACAGTGAGGGGTTCGAACAAGAAGGCCAAGCTTGATCATCCGAACAGCCAGGCAGCTGCCGAGACCCCCGCCTTGGTGGTCAATCTGTTGAAGCACCTCAAGGAGAACCCGCTTCCCGATGAAATCATCAACTGCGCAACGGAGCCAGAGGATGAGATGACAGTGCCCCTTCTGCTCCCACCAACGCCGATGGAAGGCTTTACCCGGGATGTGACCCGGCACGAGTATTACAGCGAGCAAAAGAAGTGGGTGGAGCAGATGCTGCTGAGGAGCAGCCAGAAGTATTCGTGTGCGGTGGTCACCAGAGACAATGTGGCCAGGCCCTTCTTGCAGCAGCTGGACCAGATCCTGCCGGTGCCACTGCGTTCCGTGGCACGACCCTCGAGCAAGGAGCTGCAAGAGATCTGGCAGTTGTACTTTTACCAGATGGCCGGGGACTCCGGCCGCCTCTCGATGTCCACTGACTGGGGCTTGCCCGAATTGCGCATCTGCTGCGAAGGCAAGGAGATCTACTTGGGGTTCCCCGTGAAGAAGCTAGCCGGCAACACGACGGCCGAGATGCTGCAGCACCTGGAGCGGATGCGTGCAGAAGAGTTCCTCACGGCAGTTGAGCGGGATGGCTGGTGTGTGACATGCCGCCCTGGGAGGGGAGTCGTGCTGCCCACGAATTGTTTGTTCGTTCATCTGAGCCTGCAGGGACCTGAGACCTGCCACGGAGCCAGGATTCACATCGTGTCTGACAAAAGCCTCCAGACGGCTCTCACTCACCTGGAGAGGCAGGTCCAACAGGACCCGACACTGGAGTCCAAAAGAACCGGCCAGCTGCTGAAGTGGATCCGCGAGAGGTGAACTGTGCGGCATCCTTAGCGTCCAGGCTGCAGCTTCTGCTGCTAACCTGTGACCTTATGGATCATTCACCTTGGCTTCGTGGCTGCCACTGTTGGCTACCCACTTGCCTGCTCCCCGCAACCCCATCTCATCGGGGTGCGGTTTTTAACAGTTGTTTTCGGCAGGGGTGCTGCTTCGCAGCTATCCCTTCGGCAGGGGTGCTATCCTGTGGGCTGCTGCTTTTGCAGCTAACCCATCGGCAAGGGTGCTGCTTCGCAGCTATCCCTTTGGCAGGGGTGCTGCTTGGCAGCTACACTGTGGGCTGCTGCTTTTGCAGCTAACCCATTCTTGCCTTTTTCCGAACCCTGGGAAGATACAACTGACACCAAGACGTGCGGGAGAATAGTGGGATCAGCGTCTGAGAGCAGAGCCTTAGGACTAGGACAAGTACAGACCTCAGCAGTATCTGAAGCTGTAGGCTCTGGAGAAGCGGTTTGGGTACACACTCGTGCTTACTGTTGAGGTCGGGTTTCTCAGGGTGTTACTGTGCACAGTGTCACCGGGTTCCCTGTCAGCCAAGCTTCACTTTTGAAGCTTGCAAAGGGATGTATCGATTCACCTGTGAACAATCTGCTCTCAGACAACCCACAAACAAAAAAGTTGTGGGCCAAAGCCGTAGGGCCGTAGGGAGTCCTGGGTGTCCGGGGTTATGTCAGGAGTTTCGGGGGGGGGGACGGGGTTGTGTTGAGGGGGTGTCCGGGATGTCCGGAGTGGTGTCCGGGGTGGTGTCCGGGATGTCCGGGGCATGTCCGGGGCATGTCCGGGGCATGTCCGGGATGTCCGGGGCATGTCCGGGGTTGTGTGTCCTGAGGTCTGTGTCCCGAGGTCCCACCCAAGGTTTATGCATTAATATCATCTAGGATGGGACAGGGGAGAGCATTTGCTGTACTGCTGCATTTCATGAACCGCAGAAGTTAAGCTCTGTCAGTTTCGGTGTTGAGCGGTGTGCCTTTCAGGATGTCCAGCCAACGTTTGTTCGATAGCCAAGTGATGCTGGACAACGACTCTGTGCTGTTCGACAGCCAGGTTGATCCAGGGACTTGGGCAGCGGGGCGCACGTTGGCTTCACCGGTTGTGCCTGCTGCTAGTTCTACTGCAGTGCACCAGACTGGCCTGAAGCGCAAGAATGCATGCCTGGAATGGGAAGGCGATTTTCCAGACACCCAGGTAGAGCTGTATCCGCCGCCTACTATCGTGAATATCAACGAGGACCCAAGCCCAAAACCGAAACCCCGCAATGAGGTGGCTGAGAAGTCCTCAGAAAAGTCCTTGCAAGAACAGCTAGAAGCCTCCCAGTCGAAGGTGAGTGAGCTGCAGGAACTGAACAGAACTCTGCACTCCAAAGCCGCGGAGTTAGCACAGCAGCTGGTGCAAGTGATGGAGGAAAAAAACAATCTTCTGGCTGAGAAGCATGCGAAGATGATCGCTGACTTGAGGGTGATGCGTTCTGCCCGCGAAGAGCTTGACGAGCTTTTGGATCTTAATTTTGATGACGACGACGATCAATGCTGAGAAGCAGTTCCTGAGGCTTGGCCTTGAAGTTTCTGTTGCCGTCCTGGCTGCTGGGGAGCTTTTTCAGCCAATGCAGTTTTTGGCCACGGGCCGCAGACTTTTCATTCAGGGCAGCAGGCTCAGGGTGCTACCGCGAAGGCTTCGCGATGCGCCCAGTGCCAGCCGCCTTGAAGAAAGAGGCTCATGGGTAGTATGTATACGGCTAGAAAGGCAGGGGAATGCAGGGGACTACAGAAACCAGGTGCTCCGAGCGTGAGTGTCGGAACAGTGGAAAAAGAGGACCTGAGCTTGTGTAGTTTCTGAACGGTAATAGGGATGTGTTATGGGCCTTGTTAGGGAGGGTTTTGGACTGGCGAGGGCTTGTGCGTGCTACCAGAAAAGGACCGATTTTGTTTCAAGGGGACGTGTTTTTTTGGTTGGGAAAACGCAGCTTTTGAGTGAACGGTTTAAACCCTATTAGAACGAATGCAATTTTTCTAAAACGGTTCATAACCTTTTTTTATTTCGACCCCGTTTGCAGCAAGGGTTAACGCCCCCCGGGCCTAGATGAATCACTTATAGCTTGGGATCTACACATGCGGCATGTCGGAACTCATTGGACCGTGGATCTAGTTCAAGAGTTGAAAAAACGGACCAAGGGATTGGTGTGGCATGTTCGGGATCATGAAGGTTCTCATGCGCATGTCTTTTGCCCTGTGAAGTATTGGATGATGCTTCAGGACACTTTCACTGCCGAATCGGTTTTTCAGCCACTGTCGCTAAACACCTCGGCGATGCTGGCTCAGATGGAACAAGCAGTGCCACCTCGGATTCTTGAAGCATTTCCTTTCCGCTTCGGCTCTCGCGGTGCTCGTGTGTCATGGGCTTATATTCTCCCCAAGTTCAAGAAAGACTGGAGAGCGGGAAGGCCAATCGTTAGTTTTGCGTTTCACCCGGCTCGCCAGTTCTTGGTTGTGATGGCAAAAGTCATTGAGATGCTTGTAGCTGAGGTTTGTCCTCACACCAGATCTTACAACGATGCAATCTTGTTGTGGCAGAATATACATGCTTTCTTTGAGAACGGATGCCATGGCCTTGAGGATGGGCGACGGAAATTTGCCATGCACAATCAAGATTTGTCAGGCTTTTTTGTGAGCATTCGGAGGGAACGGTTCTTGATCACCTTCCGTATTTTACTCTGTCGCTTCTATGATGTGTCGGATGAAGATCTTGACGAAGCTTTGAAAGGCGTTGTAGTGACCGTGGACTTGGAAAACAACCTGTCCGTTATGAAAACTATTCGCGGCCGGCACTGTTTGCTGCGTGACAAGAAGACGGCCGTCCCCATGGAGTTATTCATGGAAGCTGTGCAAGCGTCGTTCAAGTTCAACCTATTTGTGGTAGGACAGCAGGCCACTCAGCAGATCAGAGGTGCGCCGATGGGGAGCCATTTCTCCCCCGCAGCCTGTCATGCTGTGGTGAGTTTGTATGAGCATATGTACTTCGGAAAATGTCTTCTGGAGTCCGCTCGCTTGCCAACGTATGGCCTCGTCGTCAGATACGTGGACAATCGGCTGAGCTTGATTTTTGATCGAAAATGCAAGTTCCGCTGCTGTGCAGGCGTTCTTGCATCAAGATGTGTACATACCGCCCATCGTATTAGAGTATGAAGATGGGAACCTCTTTTTGGGTTTCCATGTGGACATACAACAGCTACGAGTGCAGTATGTTCAACCCACTGAATCCTGGAAGTTTCTGCATTTCAAATCTGCGGCCAATACAAGGACGCTGCTGAGCAGTTTTCGATCCAGAGCCCACTTGATTGCTCGTGCGTCCTGGCCGCTGGAACAACGTGAAGCCGATCTTGACCAGCTTCTGCAGTCCTATTTGAGGCATGGATTTGATCCGTCAATGATGTCCCCCATCCTGAGACGTGTGAGGTGCCAGTTCAACAATCGTGCTCGCTCGACAGTTGCATAAACAAGCTCATGCACATTTGGCTTGATGTTTCTACAATTTGGTGTGAGTGCATGTTCCCCTCAGTATTTCGCTTGTTCTGCAGCTCGTGCTCGAAAGTTTTTGTGTCTTCCTCAATTTGTAGCATTCTGCGCTCCCAACGATGCCCACGGAGGACAATCTCAATTTGTTCCCGAAGTCTTCGGGCCCTCCAGGTCCTGTCAGTGGTTCTATGGAAATGTATATTCGACGAAGAGTTGCTCAAGAGGTGAACCGGGCCCTTGCACCGCCCGACACGCTTCCAGAATGGGCACGGCCTACCGGAAGCGCTTCTGGAGGCCTTCAAGCTCTTCCTCCTGCTCCTTCCTCTTCCATCCCTCCCTCAGGAGCCTGTGAATGTGGCAATACCCCGTGCTCCTCCTCCCTCGCCTTTCTTGACACTCACGAATCTACGGCTCAGTCTATTCACATCCACAATGAGGGGATGGCAAATCGCGTTATTGAAGGCTTGACCTCTCGTCTGTTCGGCAATCGGGGCACTAGATCCCGCAGCCCAGTGTTGAGGCCGTGTCCGCCTCTCCCAAGACGTCGTCAGCTTGCAAGTGGTGAACGTCAGTCGCTTGAAGATCAGCCTACAACTTCTGCACAGCTCGCCATTGCCGGTGCAAGTGCTGACAAGTATATTATTCCGGAGGGTCCGGAAATTCCTACACCCTCGAATGAATGGGTGAGTATTGAGCCCAGTTCCGGGCCGCCGCTCTGGGTACAATTTCTTGAGACCTCGCATATGTTGGATCGCCCAGATGTGCAGCATGCGGTGTGGCCGCAGTTTTACTGTATTAAAACAGTGGCTGGCATGAATTTGTACGGATTCGATCCAACTATTTCTGAGAAGGACAAGAAAAAGCAATGGTATGATCTTGAACGATTGTTACTCCACTTCCGGACGGCTATTATGAAGGACACCAATCGAATCAAAAGTGCAGCTGAAGTTGTTGTTCCCGTCTTGCCGACCGGATCTTACGATCTCCAGGAGAGATGGATAGCTGCCATATTGGCAGGAGCCGACCATCATGCCAACTATTCTTGGTCTGATGCCAGTGGTTACTTTGCTATGGGACCAGATGCCAAAAAGCAGATTCAGAATCTTGCTCGTACTTTGTCATCGGTATCTCGTCTTCGTCCGTTCGTTCGAGAAGACCTCCAGACCGGTCGTGGATCGTACTGGCTGTTTCCGAGCAACACGGACCCAGACACGGGACTTGCAGACTCTGGAGCTCATGAAGCCCCGCATGGAGTTTTTCTCATTTTGACGACGATGCTCCCGGATGATCCAGGCACCTGCTTTGCTGTGCCCTTTGTGCATAATACCGTCCCGCAGGATTTGTCGTCGATTGTCAGTCAGGAGGTTATTCGGCCCTCATACTTCGACCGCGCTGATCGCACATGGGTGCCTTCCACGGGATTCTACGGTCGAATGTCTTGGCCGAAACCTGCTATTCGGCTACCAAAGC